TCTGCGTGAACCATCACTTGGCCTCATTGGTCTATGTTGAATAGATATTCACCTTCGACGCAGATCGGCCCATAGATCTTCCGGAGAATTTTTCTCTCAAACACTCCAAGAGCAGTCTCATCTGCTTGCGCTAGTACCCACACTTCAGATCCATACAACAACACGGGTGAATTTGGTCTGGAGAGAGATGGCCTTTTTTAAAAAGTGCTTACTTAGACCATAGTAGCATCTGTTGACCAACACTATTCTCATCCGGATTTCAAAGCTGATGTTAATAGTTTTGTTTATGGCGGTACCGAGGTATATAAAATCCTTTACTACCTCGAACAAGTTCCACAGCTGATCCGAGTCTACTGGACGTCCTGCGCGTTGATAACATCAGCTTGTTCTTCTCGCCATTTACTGCCAGTCCCACTTTGGCAGACTCCTTCTCAATTCGTTCTGGGAAGACATGATCCGGAAAGATTCCCAGTGTATGGAAGAGGGGCGAAAGAGGTCGAATACGGATTGCGTATACTATCGGAATTAAGAAGAAAAAAACTTACGATGTAGGAAATAAGTATTCCAGTACTGGCGTATCATCTGCATAGTCTCGACTAGACTATTAGAAAAATTAACAAATTGCAAACACAGAATTTGTAACATCCAATTTGTAAAGAACTGTATTTCCCTCACAGTATTTGGGGCCCCACTTACTTATAATACGCTCTTTAGAACAACTAACCCCAGTCGGCCGGAAGGTATGGATATAATAAAGTTTTATCTGAATTTGCTTCGAGGTGTTTCGGACTAATTGTAATTTGCTTTTAATTTCTTGAATTGTATTTTTACGAACCTAGCCTCCAAATTAACTTCAACATCATATTTCGGAGATACTCCTATAAATGTATTATACTCTCGTTCTATTTTAGAAATGCATAGACATATATTATATAAGATTCGTAAATATATATTTAATACATTTCCAATAGCTTATTATCCCAGTCATTCTTTAATATTCCCATTAAATTCCACAAATCGATTTTTTAAACAATAAAAATGCTACCATTCCTCCTTATCAGCTTTATGAAAAATACTACATCAATCTTAATAATACGAACTGTGCGGTATGTCATAAGCATCATAAATCTTGGTTTGTCATTAACATTACACGATTGGCATTGCATTCACTATTACGCGCACACACACACAGACACTCAGTAATGCAGACGGTAGCGTTGGTGTGACTGTGACTGCTTCAAGCATTTCGCTTGCAACAAATCATGAGATTTACAAAAGCGCTCTCCAAAACTTAAATCAATCAACGTACAGCAACTTAACTCGTACAGCAGCAGCGACACCGACAACAACAACAGCAAAACACCAAATGAATGAGCAAAGCAACGAGAGAAGGCTTCTAACAAGCGTACAGGAGGCACATAAGCCACATAAACTTTGGCTTAAACATATGACGATTCTGGCTGACTGGCTGATTGTTTGTTGCCTGACTGGCTGGCTGGTCTTCTAAATCATACACACAGGCGTGCACAGACATGGTGGGCGGGTGGTGTTCACTGCACTAAGTGGCGATGTTGACGATAATGATGACGGCGTAGCTGGTGATTATGAATGCAACAGCGATGTACCTTCGCATATGTTTGGTGAGCCTGAAAGGGTGTGGACTATTTGTTGTAGCCAGTGTGTATATATGTGTGTGTTTGTGCGGGGGTAGTGGGGAGAATGTGTGATTACCAAAAACCACGAACACAGACAATTTTAGCCATTCGTAATGATGGGTTTTGGCATTACATTTAATCCCATGGTAGTACGTACATACGTTGCTGCTATTGCATTCAAATCGTTCATGGGAATTTGTAGTTTAGCATTGCATTAAATCCTGGATGGTGGAATTAACGTTTCCTATTCTTTAAACAGGGAAAATGGTTTTGTACAAAACATCGAATATTGAGGCAGTGTCAAGTAAGGTCATTGATTTTTGTTTTGCCATTAAAGTTTAAACCACAGAATAGGAATAACTTTGAGACAGAACATTTGTTCCATAAGCCCAGGTTACAAATAATTCCAGGCACTACAAGAGGTGCCTCATCTGCTTGCTCAAATACCCAGGCTTCAGATGCATACACTAGCGCATGTAGTATCAGTGTCTTGTAGGGTGCGAGTTTGGTGGCCTTGTTGGCCAACAGTATCGTTATCCGAATTTCAACACTTATGTCATTAGGTTTATTTTATGGTGGTACAGAGATATAAAATCTTAGACTACCGCTCTCAATGTTGGACCCATTATGTCGATGTTACCTGCGTAGGCGACTAGCATGTGCTGTTTAGTGTATAGAGTATAATTTACATTTCGACACGACAAACTGTCACCTTGTCTGAATCGGAATTGAAGGGCTCCGAGAGGTCCTTGTCGAATTTAACTACCGAGAGAGTTTTGTCTTGTAGGGTGTGAGTTTGGTCTGGCGAGAGGTGGCCCTGTTGGCCAACAGTATCCTTATCCGAATTTCAACACTTATGTCATTAGGTTTATTTTATGACGGTACAGAGATATAAAATCTTAGACTACCGCTCGCAATGTAGGACCCATTATGTCGATGTTACCTGCATAGGCGCCTAGCATGTGCTGTTTAGTGTATAGAGTGTAATTTACATTTCACACGACAAACTGTCACCTTGTCTGAATCCTCGTTCGGTATTGAAGGGCTCCGAGAGGTCCTTTTCGACTTTAACTACCGAGAGAACTTTTGTCGTGTAGGGTGTGAGTTTGGTCTGGCGAGAGGTGGCCTTGTTGGTCAACAGTATCCTTATCCGAATTTCAACACTTATGTCATTAGGTTTATTTTATGGCGGTACAGAGATATAAAATCTTAGACTACCGCTCGCAATGTTGGACCCATTATGTCGATGTTACCTGCGTAGGCGACTAGCATGTGCTGTTTAGTGTATAGAGTGTAATTTACATTTCGACACGACAAACTTTCACCTTGTCTGAATCGGTATTGAAGGGCTCCGAGAGGCCCTTTTCGACTTTAACTACTGACTTTGTGCCAGTAAAACTTATCATGCATAGCCGTTTTAATATTGAAGGAATGTCGAATGTCGGTTTCAGTCTTTCACACAGTAAGCTGGATATCACTTTATATGAGATGGGAAGGAGACTAATTCCTTTATAGTTGACCCATATCGTCTTGTCTCCTTTTTTGTGAACGAGACAAAGGATGCTGAGGCACTGTATGCGGAGCAGTATAGTCGGACCGGGACGACCGTATAATACCCTACACAATAAGCCTATTGCGAGCCTGGGAATTGTTTCACGAAATATGCAATCTCTTGACCGGTTAGACTTCATGTGACCCGCTAAATATTGGCCCTCATTATCATGACAAACAATAAAATTAATTGGTCAAATTGCATTTCCATGGAATATTTGTGATGTCCGGCTTATAATTGTGGGGTATAGAACTATTAGAAAAAAGACAAAAATTAAGTTGTCGGTATATTTCATACCCAAAATATCAACTGATAACCTGAACCTCATGCTAGATTTCCCAGTTATCAGCGATTCATTTCCGCTCTAAAGTGTGGTATACAAAAAAGTGGGTCTATGACCAATACTTCGTGGCGTTACAAACTCTTGGGGCCACACAAAGCTATAATACCCTTACAACATTGTTGTGTAGGGTATAATAATTAACCGATTTGTTTCCCGAATTGGTGTTGCCCCCCATATATCCGTATTCCACCATAATATCGGGTATATTCGGAATTCTAAATTGTCAGTTTATATACTATAAAGTATGGAATTCTATGTGGATTTATCCATTTTCGTCCGTCTGTACTTTTATTATAATCATATTTCCTTCCGAGGGTATCGAGATAAAAATTAAATTTTAGAAAATGATCCATATTTAGGCATTGCTCCCATATAATGATGCTTCTGATTTTCGGTAGCCTTAATGTTTATCTTGAGGGAAGGTATCGAAAATGAGCTATATAGGCCCGTTTTAAGGTATCTCTCTCATATAATGATTCCACCGTTTTTAGGTATCGTTACTCATATAATGATTCCTTCGCTTCTTGCCATTTCATACCAGAGGTAATCCCATATAATGACCTCCCTTTAAGTATGGCCTCGTACAACGTTGTCCTATAAATTTCAATATTTTGAGGATTTTAGACGCATTTCAACCCGACCAGCCAGAATCATGATATGTGGTTTTAAAATTTAAGGGGACCCCCTTATTCTCGGTGTCAAAAAATTTAATTTAGTTTTATGATTTAATTCGAATCAACACACATTCAAGAATGTCCCTACAAAATTTCAAGTGAAAATCTCAAGAACTCTTGAAGATATAGCCGATTTATTGTGTCAGGATAAAATGACGGGAAGAGTGATTCTCAAACTTTAAACGATTTTTTTTTGAAAATCCCCATTAAAAGTTGCCTGCAGTGTGGTTTGAACCTTTTGAAAAGTTCCTCTTTTTGATATCCTAATATATTTTGATCCGGTCCTATGGTGATAAATGTTGATAAAAATTGCCATAAAAAGTTGATGCAATTTAGTATTTCTGGCCTCCAGTAGGTTCCATGATATCATTGGGGAACATTGTGTGTATTGGTTCACATATGTATGTTTAATACTCCCTATATATCGATTTTTTTAGATCGGAGGTCTTACATTGGGGTCTATATTCTCGGTTTCCAAAAATTTAACAAATTTCCTGAAGATATTAAAAAGAGTTTACAGATTTTTTTTTGCTTCAAATAAAATAAATGTATATTTTGTACATAAAAATTATAAGCATAGAATTTAAAGTAAAGCTTCTAACAAAGATTTTCCTTTTTTCTTTCTCCCTACTCTGGTACTTTTTCCCATCTGTTACAACAAAAATTTTCCATCCTGAACACAAAATGAAAACTGACAGCAAACGTTGCTTATCCTGGCAACGGTGTTAATTGTCTTTGAATCATCATTATACACAACAAGAACAACATCGCAAGCAATGGCGGCTGAGGTTACAGCTGCAACGTCATTAAAACAAACGGAAATGGATGTGAACCATCAAAAGCGCCACATAAATAAAGCGTCAATAGCGGCTGGGTCGATTAAGCGATTGGCACGTCACATTGCACAAGGTCAGCAACATCATGGACAACAGCAAGAACAGCACCAGCAGCTCCAGCACCAACATCAGATACATTCAGATTCCGATACAGCTCAACAGTCAACGGATGATGGTAGCAACTCCATAAAAAGAAGTTACTCTTCGTTGGCTGCATCCGCAGCTGGTGGCAGTTCGGGATTGGCATCCACTCTAAATAGTCTTTCAAGTTTATCGGCTTTACAACACATTAGAAGCAGTTCGGGAATTGGTGGCGGTGTTGGTTATGGTTATGATACAACAGCAGCAGCCCACATTAAAACACAACAACCATCAGCATACACGGAGGCGAAGCCCATCTATGAAGACCAGCAGGAACATGAGTATGCAGCAACGAGTGGCCCTAGTCATCAACTGCAACAACATCAATATGGTTTGGGTGGCAATGCAGCTTTACACTCAGCTATTTATAATTTACAGGCAGCCGGAACGCACAATGCAGGTCTGGGAGCCACGTCAGTCAGCGCAAATAATGGCGGAAGTAATGGTTTCCGGCCATCATGGAACTTTGGTAAACTTTCAACATCATTTTCAGCTTCGACAGTTGCGTCAACACCTTACAATAGTTATCATCCGTACGCAGGGGCTAAAGGTGGTAGTGGTGGTGGCGGCATTGAGGGTGGCATTAGCCTGGATAGCTCCATCAGTAGCAGTAATGAGGACAAAATCTCTGAAGGCAATTTTCTGCATCATTACGATTCTGCATCCGGTTACAATGAACTCACGCAACAAACTCACCAAACCTATCAACCGCACTACGAAACTCCGCATTATGCCCAGCAACAACAACAGCTACACCAACCACAACAATACCAGCAGCACTATCACCGCCAGCACCAGGCCGATGACTACAATTACAACAGTGTCGAACAGGCAGCCGAGAGTAGCTCATCGTATGGCGAGGACATACAGCAGGCCCACGATCACAGCAATTATTTGCCACCGACTCCACCCAGCGGTGCTGGCGAACATCACGAAGAGAAGCAACCCGATGTCATCAACTATGTTCCGTATCCGGTTGTGAAGAAATTGCATGTGCCCGTCCACGAGCCGGTGCAAATACCCGTGTCGCATGCCGTCATTATTCCGATTAAAAAACCTGTACCCATTCACGTGCCCATCACACAAAACGTACAGATTCCGGTTGAGAAAGACTTGAAAATACCCGTCGAACGTGTTGTACCCTATCCGGTGGAGAAGCATGTGCCGGTTCCAGTTGAAAAGCCTGTACCGTATGAGGTGATCAAATATGTGCCCATTAAAGTTGCCCGCCCATTTCCCGTGAAAGTGCCCGTTTTCAAAACGGTATTGCATAAAGTCAAAGGATGGTGGTAAGATCAGCCAGAGCGGCGAGTAGTGTGAGTAGGTGGTTTTCAGTATTATGTTAAATGCAGCCAATATGAGTAAGATTTTTATTTGTTCATTGTTAGTAGTTTTTAAGTCATCACTGTTTTGTTGTTAAGGTAGATTTTTAGATTTAAGATTTTTGTTTATTTTTTTACAATAAAATCAAAAAATATATAAAATAACATATTTGATTTGTGGGAATTGTGTTAAAGACACGTATAAGATATATAACTCCAAGCTTCCATACATATTTTCGACCGATTTCAGTATAATAAACGAAATTTTGCACAATGTATCAATTTAGAGCCAAGAATGTCGTGATTTAATTTCTGTCGAATTCAATTATATTTTTATGGCGCCCCAAATACTCAAAATTTCTGCAATTGAGACGAAATTTGGCATAGCATACCAACTGAGTATAGAATTGCTCGGTTCTGATTTAGATATATCTCACATATATTTTTTTCCGATTTGATTTCCAAATACCAAATAACCAACGATTCTCCGATTGTGACGTCACTTCGAACAAACTAACATATTGCAATTTTGCACAGATTGATGCATGTAAAGTTTTGTTAAAAAGTTATATCTGAGTCTGAAACGATTTGCATAAATCAAAAGATGTATAAGGACTTTAGTGCACCATAGCTATATCGAAATCTTAACCGATTTTCACGAAAATTTGCACACATTGTTCTAGACTTAATTTAGTACGCTATGTCAAAATTCGTGCAAATCGAATGATTTTCAGGGACTTTGGTGCATCATTTACCTAAAATCGGACGAAAATTCGTATCTATATATAAATCTGAACCGATTTTCACGAAATTTAACACATATCGTTCTAGACCATATTCATTACGCTATGCCAAATTATGTGAAAATCGAAAAATATATAGGGACTTAGGTGAGCAATTTACATTAAATTTGACGAAAATATATATGGGAGCTGTATCTAACACTGAACTAATTTTCACCAATTTGTGTAGGGTTCGTCCTTGGGCCTAATAAGATACCTGTGCCAAATTTCATCCAATTCGGATCATAAATGCGGCCTGTACTTTGTTCACAATTTAACATCAACAGACGGACGGGCATGCATAAATCGACTCAGAAAGTGGTTCTATGCACATTCTCTTGAATTAGGTGAAGATTTCCTTTTTTTACTTAGTTTGTGGTCAACGGTCCGCCTTATTGTTAAGTATGTATGTAGTGCTGTTAATATACATAAATACTAGCATATAATATCATCATTCATTTGTTCTACCTCCATATCTCAACACTTCTAAATTTAGTACACATAAGTTTTCGAAACTACCTACATAACCCAATCCTACACCCCCGGCAACGATGCTAACACCAAATTTCAGGATTCCATCTCTATTGGTTCACCCAAAATTCAAATTGTATCAAATTTAGTACAATTTACTATCCATAAGTGTAAATTTCATAAACTACATCCAAATATAAGGATTCCACCTCTATCGGTTTACCAAAGTCCAATTTGTATCAAATATAGTACCATTTAGTCCACATTAGTACGAACTCCAAATCGGGAATCCAACACTATCGGTTCACCCAAAATTTAAATTAAATTGAACTTCCAGCATAACCCAATTCTATGCCACAACAGTGTTCCTAACTCCGAATTTCAAGATTCGAGCTCTATCGGTTGACACAAATTCAAATATTGTACGATTTAGTACACATTAGTACAAATTTCCAATTTTCTTATATACCTACATACTCCATTTCTATCGGTTAACCCAAAATTCAAATTTAGTAGCCATAAGTACACATTTCCAAAACTACATACCTAGACTCCAACAGTAATCTAATTTTTAAATTTCAGTGTTACAGCTCTATCGGTTCACCCAAATACAATTATAGTACGATTTAGTACTTTTCGTACACATGAGTAAAAACCTTCCAACAACTATATATAGCACCATATTTTCGACCTTGATACGCTTTTCAAATTTCAAGTTGTTAGCTCTATCGCTATAGTTCATATGCTACCAATTTACCAAATTTAGTACATTTTTGTACTTTTCGAATTTTGAAAAAAAAACGCTTTAGTACATGTATCATCCTCCAAATTTAAGAGTTCTAGCTCCACCGGTTCGCAAATACAATTGGTACCATATGTAGTAGCCCTTTTCAAAATTCTAGCTTCAGCCGTTTCGTCTGGGCGTTGATGAATCGTTAAGTCAGTCAGCAATTAAGTAAATCCCTTTACTCTCTTATTAATATAGATTTTTCCTGGATGAGAGAATTCAAATCTCTATATTTCGTCCTTCGTGTAATTAGCATGTCAAATTATTTTGGCATCATTAAATTCCTAATAATAAACTTTTTTCGAACTCAAAATCATTTACCACACCACATTCCTACAATAACGATTGATAATAAAAACGGACCAATGACGCCCTAAATTAACCCCCTAACGATATCAAAAACTATACATTAATTTACCTATATTAAGGCTAATATTTCAAATAAAACTACAAATACGAATTATAAAGAAGAACACTAATTTTTATGCAGTCCTAATGAAGACATAAAATTCATACTTCTCCTTCTCAACCGGGTTGTTGCTATTATTATTATCAGCGGCAACACTCCGGTTTGCGTTTCAAATAAAACATTTAATTACCAACAAATCAACAAATGAATAAACCAAGGAAAAAGAGGAATGACAGCACCCAACAGCAGAAGCAGTAAAATAGAATCATATCGTAAGTTATAATTGTGGCAAAAAAGAAAAGAAAAAAAATAAATGTCAAAATTATAGAGCCGACTAACACTCGAATAACAAAACGGGCGGGGAGTGTCATAAAAAGGTACCAGAAAAAAGTAGTCATAAAACCGACACCAACATTCCAAAGTGAACATGATGATGAGTACTACGTACAACGTGTTGGTGTATTGCTTGTGGTGACGTTGGAAGACATAAAAATCAACCACAACAATGGCCAGCAGGAAAACGTAAACCACAATTAAAAACAACAACAGCAACGACGGAAATAAGAAATTATAAAAATCAAATGTAGAGACACACCCATCTAATGGCACACGGATATGTGAGAAAGCAAAAGGAAATTTCATTTCTTTGCGAGTGGCGAATTCGGACAAACACTATTTAGTATCAAAATACCTAGTATTCAGCTTAACTCCTCCATTCGGTTTCCTTCCATTCATTCCTATGCCATAGTCCTGTGTTATCTTAAAAGGCTAAACGAATTAACAAGAACATGACATTTTACATGTTGTCAAATGATTAAAACGTAACTAACGAACAAACGACCTAGCGAACGAATGAACATTTTAGTGGAATTTATTTGACGCCACTAACCCACAAAACTATCAGGATATCTACCTTTGTGTGGGCGGGGGAGTGTTTTGAGTCCATGTCGTTGTTGGAATTCTAACAAATGTTAACCATTGAGCATAGAATTGTTAAACAAGACCGCCTAATTAGTCATCTACAGCGTACAATGTTGAACTGAACTGTTGAATGTCGGTTGGTTGAAATGGTTGGTTGGATTGAAGTGAGTGAGAATATTCAGAAGACACGCACAAGGAATGTAATGAAAGTGCGATCTAAATTGTATACTCTGTTCTTCTAGAATTCTTTAACTATTCATAGTTAGTAGGCGAGGTATAAAAAATATCGTAATAACATTGTACCTCAAGGTATAGGATTCAAGGTTAAATCTTTTACAATTAAATCCTCCTTCCTTTTAAAATCCGATTATATCGGAGGCTTTAGCAATGTGGCAAGAGGAAACTCGAAAATTATGAATTCTGAAAACTGATTGTATGAAATAAAAGTATGAAATTTCGGTCATTTATACCTTTAGCCACAGCGAATTTTGGATCCCAAATACTTACTACTGAATACCGAAAAAATAACTAATAAATTCAAATTTTGATCGCTAGTGAGCGAGGTTAAATAATAAGGTATAATATTGGATCCTTCACCCACTGGATATCTGAAGTCAGTTTTTAATGGAAATTTTACCAGAATTAAAATTAAAATATTACTATTTAAATAAAATTTTTCGATAATTAATATTTTTAGAACTCAATCTATCTACCTTTCTGTCGAATTAAATTTAATTAAGGGTAAGAAGTTGGGTCGATATAAGGATGTGATTTTGAAAGCGTGCACTAAACTGTACTAAATCCTGAAATTTGGAATTAATCATCGGAGTGTAGGATAGCGATATGTAGGTAGTTTTGGAAATGTGTACGAAAAAGTACTAAATGGTACTGTTGTTTGGTGCAATTTCGATTTGGGTGAACCGATGGAGCTGGAAAACTGAAATTTGGAAATTAAGATCTGGAAGGAACATTTTGGCAAGCTTTTTGTATCAAATAGTGGCGGCGAAGAAGATACCCCAGAACCAATAAGAGATGACGATATAGATTGTATATCACCTAGCCAAGATTAGGTCAGAGTAGCAATTAATCGGCTGAAGAACTAATAAAGAAGCAGCCGAACTATTCAAGACCGGTGGTCAGATGCTGGTCAGGAGCAAGCACCAGTTGATAAGTACAATTTGGCGATTGCAACCTCAGCATCCAAATAGGAGACAAGACGATATTTGTCAACTATAGAGGAATAAATCTCCTTCGCATCGCATATAAAGTGCTATCCAGCGTACTGTGTGAATGACTGAAGCCAATGGTCATTGACATTATTGGTGGTTCCATACTAATGTGGCTTTAGGTATGACAAATCCACCATTGACCACATTTTCACATCGAGACATTCCACATATTCGTCGCATTCGACAGCCTTATCCACTCAGAGGTATTTACAGCCATGATTGCGTTCGACAATCCTGCAAAATAAATACGGCTATGCATGATATCCATAACTGGCACAAGGATCCAGCCAAGGTGACAGTTTGACGTGTGATATTTTTAACATCAAGCTCTAAACGGTCATAGACAAAGGTGAACAGAAATGGCACTATGCC